AGCAACAGCTCACAGACAGGCTGAGCAGCTGCAGAAAATGTATTTACAGATACCCGCCGCAAGAAGGTGCTAGCAGGCTTAAAAGAAAGAGAGAGGGGAGGTGGGGAGACAGAGTGAGAAAGAAAGCTAGCTCACAGGTGGGTTGACACAGTGACAATGCCAGACTAGAAGCCAGTAAATGTCCCAGGCTGTCCTGCTGAACTTCCTGCTTCCACCTTAACCTTGACTCCTGTCGCTGAGCTTCCATTCCTCTCTGCACAGTACGATTTCGCACTAGTAAGTTTCTAAGAATCTTTGGAGCAGGCAGCAAGCAGCACGGACATGAGTTTTCAAGCGTGCCCATGGCTCTCGCCAGGAGGAGACACTTCAGGGACCTCTGTCCTGAGGAAGCACTGACAGAGGGGTCACCAGCTCTGAGACTGCGAGGAAACGCAAGCACTCAGGCTCATCCTCGGACGATATTTTTATTGGTGGTGAGAGGGAAGGTGAGATCCCTTGTTCATCATAGTCTCTCACTTATGAGAACAGCGGAAGGAATGGAACAGACAAAATTAGGCCCGGAGCTGCGCAGACTCGGGACCTGGGAAGCAAGTGTGAGGGCTTGCCTTCAAGGCTGAGGTGGGAGGGGGAACGCCGAACTCCAAATGGCCTCCCTGCCAAGCAGGATGATGCCACCACTCACAGACCAGTGGATCAAGGTGAAGTTCAACATGGCACCTCCAGCTATAAAACCTGGCAAGTCCAGGGAGGGAGAGCCCAGATGCTGGCTGTCAGAGAGAGTAATGCTGGACACCAGCCTCCTGAAGACTGTCATGAGCTGGGTGATGCCAGGATTTCCTGACTTTGCACTGGAAGGATCTAGTGCTCAGAGGAAAAGTCCAAGCATGCCACGTGTGGTCTGTGTATGTGTGTGCATGCACATGTGTGCACGTGTGTGTGTGTGTGTGTGTGTGTGTGTGTGTGTGTGTGTAACGGCTTCCCCTGGGTTGGATGGGACCAATGCCATCTTGACATGGACCCTGAGACTGTGTTCCTGGCGAACAGTTCTTCACTTGAAGCCATCAGATGATGTCAGCTAAGCGAAGTCCCTGTAAGGGCTGATGTGGGACTGTGGTCTTATACCTTGTAAAGTTTTGTAAGTTGTACTGTTTTAATAAAATGCTGATTAGCCAGTAGCCAGGCAGGAAGTATAGGCAGGGTGACCAGAAGAGGAGAATTCTGGGAAGAGGACAGACTCAGTCTGTAGTCATCACCCAGACGCAGAGGAAGCAAGATGAGACTGCCTCACTGATAAAAGGTACCAAGTCACGTGGCTAACACGTGGGCTAATGTAAGTTGTAAGAGTTAATAAGAAGCTAATTATTAGCCTATGAACTAATAGGCCAACCAGTTTATGATTAACATAGACCTCTATGCATTTCTTTGAGACTGATCAGCTGTGGGACCAGGTGGGACAGAAACTTCAGTCAACAGGGTGAGGATAGGATAAGATAGGAAAATGTCACCTCCGGTTCCCTTTGTGACTTCTGGGGCTGAACTCCAATCCGGGCTCTGCTCTGCCTGACTATGCCACCTGAGTATGTTGCTGGCTCACTCTCAGCGCTGCCACTGCCTCCAGCCCAAGGGACACGTGACAGAAGACAGGTGCCATTTGAAGAACACATGAGTGCCCAGTGGAAGGGAAGAGGAAAAGTTGGAGGAAACACGGAATGGTGAACACCAGGAGCCTTCAGAGAGGGATCCATGGCCACATGAAAGCCTGCAGGGCATGTTACTGCCACTCTAGGGACATCAAGAGCTGAGGCCAGGCAGCTCTTGGGAACACAGGTCAAATATCACAACAGCTGCCCAGCTATGCCCAGCAGGGAGGAACTTGGAGGAACAAGTTCCAAAATCTCTTTTCCACCTGAGGTTCCTGGAACCACCTGTTGGCCAAATCAAGTGGAGAACAAGGTGAAGGAGCCATGGTGGCTACATCTACAGGACACAGCATGGCAGATGGTGACAATGGGGACTAGCTGACCGTGGTGAGATGAGGGAAGTCCCCCAGTGATGCCCATGACCCCAACTCCAGAGCCCACTTATGGCTTGCATGGTACCACAAAGACTGTGCAGGTCTGGTCAAGGCAAGAGTCCCAAGGTGGAAACAGTCTTCTGAGCTATCCACATAGACCCAGAATCATCCCAAGGGTTCCATAAAAGGGAGACAGGAAGGTCAAAGGCACAGAAATGTGGTGACACATCAGGGGGACACAGAGGCAGGAAGATGCTCCCCTAACTAACTTAGAAGGATGGAGGGGGCCAAGAGCTGAGGAACACGAAGTCTTTAGAAGCTAGAAAAGGCAAGACAGATTCTCCCAGGAGAGTCTGGAGAGAGGACCACAGACTGGCCCATTCCAGAAGACCGGCCCTCAGACCCAGAAGGGGTGCTGTGTCAATTTCAGCCACCGTTTGTAGTACCCTGCTGTAGGAGGACTAACACCTTCAAAGGATGGGAGAAACACACATGGTTCCCATGATTGCTCTCTGGTACCTGGATCTTGGTCCACTCCAGTTAGGACACAGTTCAAACAGCGGCTCACACCTGGCCCAAATGCCTTGACTAACCTGTACTGACTCTAAGAGGGAGGGAGGGAGGGAGCGTGGTTGAAGAACCCACACGGGCCCTGTCTTGGTCTCTCTAACTGCTTCCACGCAAAGGCTACTAGAAGGCAGGCTTGCTTCATTATGTGAGTTTTACGTTTTTCTCCTTTCCTTTTTCATGCATCATTCCCAGCATGGATCAGCTGCTGAGCTGCCCAGAGTAGCCCACAAAGTCCCAGACAGAAGTCTGAAGCCTGAGCGTTCATCGAGGATCTACCTTCTGTTTGATTCTGGCCACTTTCTGAGCCTTGGGTTCCCAGACTGTACAAAGTTGGTGGAAACTAGGTTCCCTGAGTCCCTAGTCTCCCAGTGATCTCGTTCTAAGTGTCTCCTTGGCTGTGATCACTCTGCAGACATTAGGGGTGGTCAAGGGAGGTGGAGAATGGCATCAGACCCCTAGGGACTTCAGGCTGCTTGTTGTCTGCTGCCCCCTGCTGGCTAGATTTGGGAACGTAGTCCTCTAAAAGCTACCTGTGAGATATGCCCATCTCTCAAAACCTTCAGCCAGGACGTCATAGGAGATTGCTTCCAGAGCACAGAAGGAAACCCAGGCATGCACCAGAGCCTGGATAGTTGGCTGCATCTCTGCCACTTTTGCATCACACCCTCCTCACGAGTGAGCTAGGTATAAGATACAGTGGTTTCTGAACAGGACTTCCACACGCCCTTCATTATCTTTGGGTGCCAGAAGCAATAAGACTCTCTCTCCAGTGTGCCTCCACCATGGTTCACAGGCATCCTGAGGCACAGCGTTTTTGGCTCTTGGGCTTGCAAATTTCCTAGGGCATCCTCACCTAGAAAGGCCAGACAGGACCAATCAGGGCCCATAGATGCCTTGAGGCATTGGTCATGAGGGGGAGGCTGTGGGCTGTATACTGACAAGTAAGGTGGGATCCTCTCTAACTGCATAAGAAAAGCAATGGAGGGGACCCTGCCACAGAAAGGGATAGCACACCCAGCAATCCCTGCTCTTGGAAAGCAGAAGCAGGAGGATAGCAAAGTTCCAGGCCAGCCTGAGCTGCACGGTGAGACCTTGTCTCAAAAACAACACCAGGAAGCTGGGAGAGGGAATAGGAGAAAGGGAGAATAAAAAGAAAGGAGAGAAAGAGGGAGAAATGGGAGGGGAGGGGAGGAAAGGGGAAGTCTGGGGCTGTCATTCCTGGCCCTTCAATAAGGCCCCTTGCCAGGGTCCTCCTCTGCTCAGAGCCACACAGGTGCTTTGGCAGTGTGCACCATCCAGGGGTCCCCTGGGCATCTCTGCTGGAGGAGATGGTGAAGGTCCTGCCCTGCCTCCCTGCTCCACAGCTCAGGACTCGGTGACCTCAGCAGGTCACGATGTCCCTCCTTCTGTCCTCTCCTGCCTCCTCACTATGGACACAGTGAGCTCCCGCCTCACTATGGACCCAGGTGGTCTAGTAGGCTCAGACCCGAGTCAATTAAACATGAGCCACCTTTTCTCCTAGGCTAGGAGGGCTGACACAGAAACCCCTGGATGCCAGGAGCATCCTTGTTCCGGGAACCTGGGGACTGAAGAATCAGGGGAGCCGCAGCGAAAGCCCAGCAGGGAACGCACAGCACAGCCACCATCCTGCCAAAGTTGTTTATTGATTTTCAGATTTTCCAGTCAACCTGAGTACAGACTTCATTTGCTTGTTAAGCTCGGGGTGGAAGTTAGCTCCAGGCATGATGGAAAAGGAAGTAGCCCCGCCCTTGCGGAGAGCGTAGCACAGTGGATGCTGGCCCTGTTCGTCTTCCAGGAGGCCCCAGAACACCAAGGTCAGCAAGGTCATCGACAGTCTGAGGGGGTCTATGTCTAGTAACTGTAAAATAATAATAATTTTAAAAAAGGACCAAGAGAATCAGAGACCCAAAATACGGCTACTCAAACTCAGGAAAAGGTGGGGGGAGCCCTTTTTGCAATCAGCACTGATACAAGATACAGCAAGAGGCTGCAGCGGGCCCTAACATGGGGACAGGGTAGGAGGAGCTACCAGAAGAATAAAACTGGGCATAACGGGAAGAGCAACGGGAGAATCAACAAAAACTACTTTTGCTTGAAAACACCATAATGAAAACCGATTCTGTGGGTGCTAACGAAAAACATTTTTTTTTTCTTTTGGGACTGGAGAGAAGGCTCAGCAGTTACGAGCACTCACTGCTCTTCCACAGGACCCGAGTTTGGTTCCCAGCTCTCAGAGAGGGCAGCTCACAACCACCTGCAACTCTAGCTTTATAGGATTGCAAGCCCTCTCCTGGCCTCCTTGGATACCCGTGTGCATGTGGCATATACACACAGAGACACATAAATACATACAAATTAAAAATAATAAATCTTTTAAAATATTTTAATTTAAAGTAAGGTTGATTACTGCACCTGAGCTAAGGAATGGGAGCTAGCCTGTTCCGTTTGTTAATTTGGGTATTTTTCGGGATGGGGAGGTGCTTTCAATTTTCATGGGCACCTATGACTTTGATCCCACACAATACATGTATTTATGTGTGTGTCTATTTATTTATACTGGAGATCAAACCCAGGGCTCCAGGATTGCTAAACAAGCTTGCTACCGCTGAGCTATATCTGCAGCCCTCAGAAATTAGTCATAATATAATTTAATATGAGTATATGCTAAAAAGCAACATCGAAGTTCTTGTTAATTGAACCAGGGATGCTCGGGCTTTGCTTGCTGAACGTGGCCCACAGGCTGTGCAACTGATCGCAGAGGAGTCACTGACAGTCTCATGGCAACCAAGGACACCACCGCACCCTAGGGCACCCTGCAGAGCAAGTGGAGCAGTGTGAACTCAGTGCCCAGTCCACTGCCCCAGTCCTCAGCCCAGCATTTCAGACAGCAGCTCCTACCCTGGCCAGCCCTGCCCAGCCCAGCAATGCCTAGCCCAGCATATTCCGGCAGCGCTGCCGCTCCTCCTCCTGCTTGTCCGACAGACGGCTCTCCAGCTGCCTCAGTTCCCTGAGCACCGCCTTGCGCATGGAAGGCTCCAGCTCCAGTACTTTCTCGAGGTCCGCCTTGGCCTCCTCAGCGTTCCACACCTCTGCATGAGCACGTGCGCGCACATAGTAGGCCTTCACGATCCCTGCGGAGAGGAGCGAGCTGCACCCAACCAACCAGCCCCAGAGAGCCCTGGCATCAGACCTCCAGACCTCAATTTCTTCCAAGTGCTGTAACCAATTTCACTTTCAGAAATTCTTGTATTGTTACCTCCGAGGACCCAAGCTTTGTCACCATCGGACCCTGTTCTTGTGCCTGACCAATCCGGGTGACGGTGAGGCTCAGTGCAATAATAAAGGTGGAGTACTTAGCGCCTGCAGCAAGTGTTGTGTTATTCTGCTTAGCGTTAGTTGTCAACTCCTTCTCAAATACTACCAGACACGATTTCATATTTTTCTTTCAATGTCAATTCCATATTTTTCTCTCGATTGCTGGCCTCCTTTCAAAGCCTGGTTACCACTCCCAAACTAATGGAATAACAGCCACATACACATTTGAAAAGCATAAAAATAAATAAGATTTTAAAAAAAACACCTTCCTAAAGCCAATGATTGTGCACATTCTGTGTAAAACCCAGAGCTCTAAAGGCTAAGGCAGGAGGATCACAAGTACCCAGTGAGCCTGGGCTAGATGGCCAGCCTCAGTCTGAAACAAACACCTCCCTCAATAAATATCACCCTCTCAGAAGCACCAACAATGCAGTTGCAGGCTTGGGGAAGTCAACAGGGTGAAGACACGCTTCCGTGCCTCTCACCGCGGAAAGGACCACCTGAGGCCAGTGGCAGTGGCAGTGACCTGGCTGCCTGTATCTCCCCTACTCCCACCTCCATTTCCACCACCCCCACTCCTCCACCCTCACTCCTACTCCCCCACTCCCATCCCTACTCCTTTACCCTCACCCCCCACTCCTCCACCCTCACTCCCACCCCTACACCTTTACCCTCACCCCCCACTCCTCCACCCTCACTCCCACCCCCACTCCTCCACCCTCACCCCTACTCCCCCACTCCCACTCCTCTCCCACCCCTACTCCTACCCCCTGACCCCTGCCAGGGTTGCACCTGGGTGATGTCGCAGGATGTCGCTGGTATGCTCCAACACCTCATAGTACTCCTCCTTCTTCAGCAGGCACTGGCAGTAGTTGAGGATCAGGGTGTTGATCATCTTCTCCAACTTCAGCCACTCAACCTCCCAGGGCTTCTCCTGCAAGGCAGAAGCTCAGCCACCGGCTGGGTAAGGCTCATCCCAGCCCACCCAGCCAGTGGTAGCTCCCAACCTTAGTCTGAAGATTCCTCAGGCACACGATGGCCTCCTGGTACTTGGTGGCAGCCTGATCGTAGCGCCCCAGCTTGTAGAGCCTGTTGCCTTCCCCGTGAAGGAGAGGCACGGCCTGCATCCTCTCTTCATTATTCAGATTCCACGTCTCCCTCTGGTACTCGCTCGGGGCCTCCACCTAGTCCAGGAGCTACACGTTAGCCAGGAAAGGACCAGCGAGATAGCCCCAGCATCCTTCTGAAGCGGTTTACCCTGCCCCACAGTGAGGTGCCACACCGAGAGTCGGGGATGCTGGTCAAGACCTTGAGAACAGAGCAAGGAGGCAACAAGATCCAGCCCTGCCCTAAGCAAGTCAGTGCCTTTGGGGAAATTATAAAAAGGCTCCTTTCTTAAGGAAAGTTTACTTCCAATAGTTGGAAGATTGTCATGAGTGCTCGCTGTGTTAGAACAAGACACTTTTATTGCCATCTGGAGAGAATTTGTCATCATAATAACACAAACGTGTAATGTCTACAAAGAGCGCCTTTGAAGGGTTGTTCCTGCACAGTGCACAAACCACACAACTGTTCTTTTTTAGTTTTCCTTACCCATACAGCCCTCAGGTTGAGCTTCAACCTTGGTCATAAGCTGAGTCCTGACCTGGCCTCGGCCTTGAGCCTGGCTCTTCCAGCCCCATGCAGGCTCTCTTACTGTGCCAGACCCAAGTCCAAACCCACAAGTTACAGGAACCAAGGAAGAGGCTGCAACTCTAAATCTTGCAGAGATGGAAGCAGATGACCAATTAAATAAAGATGCTTCAAAAATGAAATTAAATCCTATTTTTCAAACATTGCTTCCAAATGAGTGTTTTCCTTTGGAGGGGGTTTGCAACTTTCAATTCGGCTGGGATCCCTGGCCAGCCTCTCGTTTTCTAGAGAAGCAAGTGAAGTGGGCATGGGGTCAGGAGGCCGCAGGATCCCTCCTGACCCTGGGCCAGCCCCTCCCACACCTGACTCCCACCTGCAGCAGCTCAATCAGGAAGATGAGAGGCTGCGGCTCTTTCTGCAGTTCATCCAGGTCCTCGTAGCCCAGGGTATGGTATGCGAACATGTTGGCCAACCCGCACGTGTGCACATGCCAGCCGGTGGGGTCCTTGCCCTCAGCCACCTGCCGTAGACTGCGAGACAACATAGGGTAGACTCCTGTGTGCTGTAGGAGAGATGAAGGAGCATTGTCCTAGCTGTCTGATCAGAACTAGCCAGACCACACTCAGCCTGGGCTGCATCCTTCTCAAGGGTACTGCCGGCCCAGGACACCCACCAGAACAACTGTAGTTCACAGTGTGCCCAACTGCTCCAAACCTGTTGGTACCTTTATTCCTTATGATCACCTTATGATCAGTGGCAAAAGAGTCACTGTGAAGCTCCCTGTGCTACAGCTGAAGAAAAGAAGCCCAGAGGAGTTAAACCTCAAAGCTACAGAGTCAGGCATGACACAGACAGGATTTGAACCTGCCGCTCCAAGTTGTGCCTCTAGCCACATGTTGCCCCTTTATAGCCCTGTGGTCAGCATAACACATTTCTTCCCCAAGGAGTCCCAGAGCTTCCAGGATGTAGCAGTGAAGGGAGCAGAGTCCCAAATCTGAGAGAGCCATTAAATGTGCCAGTGCAAATGTATGTCTGGTCTGATCCAGCTGCATCCAGAGTTGGCCCTTGGGGTTCAGCAAGGCCTGCTCCATACTAGGCCTCGACTCTTTGGTAGCGACTCAGAGCCTATATCCACAGAGGTCAAGTTCAGATCTCTACAAAGCCATTCCTGTCCCTCGGCTGGTGGAAAGGACAGGTGCTGAAGGCTGAAGGTCATTCTCCCCACCCCCACTGGCCTGGATTAGCCCAAGTGCCCTGAGCTGCCTTCTGAGAGGCACAGCCAGATGGCAGCTGTCTGAAGGATTAAGGATAGAATAAGGAGGAGCATCCTCCGCCCACCAACTTGCTTTGAGGAGAAGTCCACTGGGGCCATTTAAGCAGGACCTCAGATAAAGGCTGCATTCCACTAGATACCTGCCAACCTGGCAGGTCTGGTGCCCCAGTCCATGCCCAGGGTTATGGAGTGACATCAGGAGCAAGATAGAACCTAGAAGAAGGAACCAAGTTTGTGGACATTTTCCTAGCACCAACTTTGTGAAAGGGGGGGATCCTGGAGCCCTCCTACCAGGTTACAGGCTACAGGAACAGTCATTGTCACCCATGGGCTCTAGACATCTGAGGACTCAACCAATCAGGGAGCCCATCATCATGGTTCCCTCTTTGCTCTGAGGTCAGAGCCTGGCTCAGGCCAAGGCCCTGTCTGGACCGGAGGCTGCCACCTGCAGTATTACAGACCAGGTCCAATGACTCTCAATGTGTTGGTCTTAGTTGGGGCGGGGGGTCTGGTTTTTAAATTTATTGCCAGTGTTTAAGCACAAAGTATTTACAGACTTTTGCAGGCCTATGATGGAATCCAGAGCCCAAGTATCCTGCTGCTGCTAGCCCATTCCCTCCATGAACTTGAAACAGCTGCCCCTACCCTTTGGGCAACTAGGGACCCAGATCCTGTGGAATCAGAATTTATTTCTTTGGCCTCACAAAACTGAGCACCAACAACAGGTTCTAGATGGAGACAGACCCTTGGAGGCAGACAAAGGGCCAGGAACTCTCACCCACCCTGCCCCTCTGTACTGGGGGAGAGAGGGAGAGAGAGGGAGGCAGCCCCTATTCCTGCAAAGATATAACTTCAAGCTGACCGAACAAGGACAGTCCAGGCAGAGACACCCAATGACTGCTTAATCAGGTCTTCTTGGACCTGCCCTACTAGTGACTGAATCTATCTAGAACTCTGGTTCCTGAGTAGAGGCTGCCCACAGAGAAGGGGCTGACTAAACGTAGTTACATATACTCTTTTTAGGTCAGGTATTTTAGTTAGGTTTCCATTGCTGTGATAAAACACCATGACCAAAAGCAACCTGAGGCAGACAGGATTTATTTCAGCTTACAGGACCACCTCCCAATCCATCATCAAAGGCAGAAAGCTGGAGGCAGGAGCTGATGCAGAAGCCATGAGAGGGGTGCCGCTTACTGGTTTGCTCCTCATGGCTTCCTCAACCTGCTTTCTTACAGCACTCAGGACCACCAGCCACAGTGGTCTGGGTCCTTCCACAACCATCACAACCATCATGAACATGTCCCCACAGGCTTGCTCACAGGGCAATCTAGTGGAAGCATTTTCACAATTGAGATTCCCTTTTCTAACATGACTCCGGCTTGTGTCGTGTTGACATAAAGCCAGTTCACACTCCATGTGAACTTTTACTCATCCTTCAAGACCCAGCTCAATATCACCTTCTTGAAGAAGCTCCCCCGCAAGACTCTAAAGCAGTTAGCTTTCCCCTTTGTGGCTCTGGAGTACTCTTCCCTTGTTCTCCATGCCATGCCCTGGCTGCCTGGCACCCTATAAAGGGCTGAGTCTCTGTTCCTCTGGAATTCAGTTCCTCCAGGGTTGGAGACCATCTGTATCATTCCTAACACAGAAAGCATGCCAAACAGATGCCCATCAAAGGCTTAGTGATATGAGGAAAAGAGAGGAGGAAGGAAGAAGAATAGGAGGATAAGAGGAGATAAGGTAAGATATACATATGCTATAGATGTGGTGCTGAAAACTGGGTTATGGGTATCAGGGAGATGGTACATTGGGGAAAGTGCTTGTTGTATGAGTGTGAGGGCCTAATTTCAGGTGCCTGGAATCCACATAAAGCAGGTGTGGTAGATGGTGCATCTACAGTCCTGGTGACGTTAAGGCAGGTGTGG